CTGTGATTTTGAGAATAGTGGAAAGGGGGTTAACGTGGGAGCAAGGAGACTAGTGTGGAAGCTGCTAGAGTGACCCAGCTACGGAAGATGGAATGGATGGTGGGGCACAGGCAACAGGGGGAAGCTACCAGATCATGGGGAGGTTTCAAAGCTGCCATGTGATGGGAAAGGAAATCCAGATTAAAAAAAAAAAAAAACTCCCTGTGTATTATAGTACAAAAGCATATGTTGTCCTCTTTTGTCTTGATTTTTTTAATTTGTTTATTTTAGAGTCAGGGTCTTGCTATGTTGCCCAGGCTGGCCTCCAACTCCTGGGCTCAAGCAATCCTCCTGCCTCAGCCTCCCGAGTAGCTGGGACTACAGGCATGCGCCACCATGCCCAGCTAGTTTTTCTATATATTTTTAGTTAGTTGTTCAGCTCATTTCTTTCTATTTTTTTAGTAAAGACAGGGTCTTGCTCTTGTTCAGGCTGGTCTCAAACTCCCAAGCTCAAACAATCCGCCCACCTCGGCCTCCCAGAGTCCTAGGATTACAGGCGTGAGCCACCGCACCTGGCCTGTTTCTTTTTTTAACAGCCTAGATAATCATTTCTGATTCAGATGGTGTTACTTTCCTGGAGTTACATAGGAAAAAAAGCTAAAGGATACAAATCCAATTGTTAACCATGGGTTGTAAGATTGGAGAATGGAGACTTTCAAACTTTACATTCTATGCTTCAATATTATTAGATTTTTTACAGAAAGCATTACTTCTATGAGGAAAAAAATTGTGAACAAAACAGATTTTTTTACCCAAAACTCTACAATGTATTTTGTTTGATTTAATATGACATTTTCAAGTATACTGTTCACTGGTGTTATGTATATTCATATTGTTGTACAATAGATCTCTAGAACTTATTCATCTTGAAAAACTGAAAATCAATGCCCAACTAAACACTAATTTCTTCTCTTCTCTTCTCTCCCCCCAGCCCTTGGCAATCAGCCTTCTACTTTCTGTTTCTACAATTTTGATTACATTAGATACATTATATACCCCATATAAGTGGAATCATGCAGTTTGTGTCCTGCGACTGGTTTATTTC